CCCCAAAACCCCAAAACCCCATATAAGAAACTAACTATATATTGTAATAAGTGAGTTTAATAGAAATAAAATTAACAAAAGTAATCAAATCAACCATATCAATTACAGATAGCAAAATGGCGCAATCAGCAAATCAGTATGACCCTAAGAATGAAATGCAAAGACTATAGGCTTCTATTGATTAATAGAATATTTAACAGTAACAGCAGAGATCATCTATAAACAGTGAGCCAAAGTTTAGATCTGACTCATAAGGTAGAGCTTCGCTTACCTCTTCTTAGAACTTTTCTTCTCCAGGATAAAGGGCCTATTCAGGTTCCACTGCCTTCCAATATCATCCACAGAATCTATCTCAATCCCAGGCACCTCAATCATAAACTGGTAGACTTATGGCTGAGTCTATTGGTGGTCTCTTCGGCTACAACATCGCAGAATAGAAATTGAGATAGGCTGAAGAGGATCATAAGAGAAATTTAAGAGAGCAATAGGAGCGCCAAGAATAACTGCATCTAATGAGACTAGAGTAGTAAAGACAACAGGCTGAAAGAGAAGAGAAAGAGAGACAATAAAGAGAAGAATTTGAGAGACAAGAGCGTATGAGACTCGATAAAGAGAAGATAGAGCATGAAAAGCAAGAAAGATTTAGACTAGAGAAAGAAAAGTAGGACAAGCTTAGGTTAGAGCTGGAGAGAGCGGCCTATGATAGAAAGGAAAGGGATAGATAAAATAAAGAGAGATAAGAGAAAGAACTCCTTGAGAAGGCTAAACAGAAAAGAGACCAGAATTTGAGGGAAATGTAAGAAAAGGATAGGCTTGAAAAAGAGAGAAAGCAAAGAGAGGAGGAAGAAGCCAGATTTGCTCATGAAACAGAGGTTTAGGTTCAAGCCTAAATGCAAAAGGAGGAAAAACTTAGAAATTTGCAAATAAAATTGCAGCTGCAAAGAGAACAAGTTGAGAGGGAGGAGGAGCTTTAGAAAAAGAAGGAATAGGACAAGGCGATAAGAGCTCAGCAACTCAAAGAAGAATTGATTAGATAGAGAATGCATGTGGGATCTAATAATGCTTCACCATCAAGAGAAAATGCAAGTAGCATCGGCTAAACTAGCTAGCCGCAATTCCGCCAAAATCAACCCTTTACCAATAATCCAAGTATGAACCAAAGTCCTAGTACAAATTTTAATGAGTAATAATACTAGTCCCCAAAGCTTAATCAATCAGCTTAAAGTTAGCTTTCTCAGAATCAACCCCTCAATCTCTAAAATAGACAACCACAGTTGTCTTAATCTCAGCAACTTCCAACAAGCCAGAGTTAAATCAAATAAACAACTATATAGCCACCATAATAATAATAATAGCAGCCGCCCTAGTAATAGTAGAATCCTCTATTATCCTCAGTAAGGTCGAGCTTTCAATTAAATCCACTTCAATAGCAGCAGTAACCAAACCCAAACTAATAATAACAAAACTATTAATAGCTACTTGAGAAGTAGCAATAGATTCAAAATCCTCAGGCTAGTACCTCCCAAACTAATGTATCTTTGCAATAGCAGCCAGTAAAATTTCAGCAATAATAGCCTGTATCTTAATAATATCAATAGCAGCAGCAACCTTAGATTAATTAATAGTAATTCACTAGTAACCTATCCTAGCAAACACTCCCACAGCAGTAGTAATTATAATCAGTGTAGCTATAACAACCAGGGAATTTTACAACTTAACAGCAGAGATCATCAAACAATCCTTCATTATCTCAATAGCCACTTGTATAATAGCAAAGACCCTCTTAGACCTCAAATACCATTAATCAATCTTAGTTATTTTAGCAATAGCCACCTGTCCAATCTTAAAACTAATAGCAGCAACCAAATCAATAAAGTAACTTAAGCCAGTCATAGCTTTAAAAGAATCTCTAATCATCATTTAATCTCTAGATTTAAAAGCAATAGCAGCTGTTAGTTTAATAGCAAGAACAAAAAAAGCAATAGCTATTACAGCAGCAATAATAATAATAGTAATAATAGAATTAAAACTAAGGAGCCAATAATCTCCAAACCTACTAAGTTAGAAATTAGAATAAAAAACCTCAATCAGCATTCCAATAAGAGAATTAAATTAGAAACTCATAAGTCTCAGCTGAGTAGTACAACACTGGTAATCTTAAGAATGCTCCAATAAATAGCTAATCAAACTATGATACATTGATTTCTGACTCTAAAACTCAGCATCTTAATGGTGGATTGTCAACACTAGATACAAAGTATGGTCCTGAGTTGTTAAAGCAAAATTATAAGTAACCCCAATTCGGTTAGAGCAGCCTAGGAGAGGCATAACTTAGCCAGAGTATTTAAAATAGATCTCTTAATCTAGCCGATCTGAAACAAGATTAGCAGTATCAATAGCAACCATAATTCAATTACATCTCAACACCTTCAAACCAGAACTAGCAATTCTCTTAACAAAACTAGTCAAATCAATTGAATAGCACTCCAGGCTTTGGATAGCCAGTTACTAATCAATTTACTTACCCTGTTGGAGGTCAAACTTAGAAGTTCTAGTTTGAAGATGGGGATGCTGGAGATGATCTTGATCTCTCACTGGAGGAGGAAAAGTACTAAAGAAAGTTGGCATATAAAAATGGACAATTTACTGCAATAGATGAAAGCACTGGATTCAATAATGAGAGACAAGAGACAGAGAGATTCGTTGAAGATGATGATGATTTCCAACTTAGAAACGATATTGGGGTTGCATCGACAATAAAGTAGCCTACTGATGCTGAGATCCTTGCATCCCTAGAGAATGAAGATGAATAATGCAAAAGAAGCAGAGAGTTAATTACTCTGAAAGAGCAAGAATTGACCAAGGTACAAGAAGAAATCAGATCATATGAGGCTTCTGAAAGCTTCTACTGGTTCATTATCAGTATCATCCTGCTACTATTCGCTTTGGAATTCATGGGATTCCCAATTAATACGTATCTCGCTATCCCGCTGGGCGCCATATCGCACTTTAAGAAATGATTTTCAGATTTTTGCAATCAATCCTGAAATTAGTCTAAATAGTTGATGTCTTCACGGAATGAAAGATGATATTCATTTTTATCATGATTTAACTAAAATTTACATTTTTAAACATCCTCTACATAATATTCAGGATAGAATTGGCGGGGTTTTGGGGTTTTGGGGTTTTGGGG